TTCTGAATTCTCGTATTATTTCTGACAATGTTCTGCAATTACATGGAAACATATTTTACGAAGGTTGCGATTTATCGAATTTAATGCTTCCATTCACTGTCTACTTATTGTTCAAATATTTACCAATTGCTTACAGACTATACATTTTCGTTTTTTTCTTCTCTTTTTTGTTTGTTTGTTTTTGTTTTAACGTCGATTATATTAGAAATCCTTAATTATGAATAATTGAAGAGTCGCAAGTCGTATTTTGTAACAAACGAGTATGAAAAATTATTGGTCCGAGGAATGAAATAGATGGATTAGTCATTAAGTAAATGTATACTTAATTCATTAAGAATTAGAACGTTTTGATTTAGACGATTAATAATGTATATTTTTAAAATTTTACACAATTAAAAGCTCGTTATAACTTCATCCATTGCAATAGAAAACGACTTTAAATTCGAGATAACAAATTATTGTTATCTATATTTTCGAATATTCAGAATATAAATGTAACTTAATGCCCGATGTCGGATGCGTTTTTAATTATCTAATTATTACGCCTGGTATTAAATAGACAAGAAACTACATTATTATTATCCTCATTATTATTATAATATTGTGAGAATAATTGTATTTCATAACAATCATTAGCAAGCATTTTATATGACACAGACGATATTAGATATTAAATTCTTTATTATTAGATTTTATTTAAAATACTTTGTCAAGCAGTGCGTACGTAAAAGTATCTTTATAAATTGGCATCCGTGGCAATTAAAAGGGCATCATCGTTTTATAAAAACGAATTGGTTGGATTTATCGAGCCGCGTGCTCATGCGAATAATGCAAAAATTTATTTACAAGTCAGAGTGAATGTGTATGGAAGTGAGGAAAAAGATACGCGAGCATATAATGACGATGGAAAACGTATTTAGAAAACGTATATACTTCACGCAGTAGAGCAGTAGATGAAGATATCGGAGGGAATAAATAAAATTTCTCGATGATAAGATGAATAAAATCATAAATAATGTTAGCTCACAGAATGCTCTGTTCTCTTGATTAAAAATTCATAAATAATATATTTCATACAATTAAATTAAGAACGCGCGACTATAACAGCTTGGATACATTTTTCTCATTCGTCTTATAATCGTATTAAAATAATAATTGTAATGATGTACTTTTTTTATAGAAATAACAGTCGAGTCTATTGTATTAAGCATCTATTATTTTTGCTTGCTTAGTACGCAAAAGCATAGTTTAATTGTATTTTTTATTTGAAAAGTAATGTTGTCACTTTAGTAGTTAATTATAATGCAAATATTATTTGCGAGTATTGGATATTTGGCGCAGAGATACCTGATACTTGATTTCATATAACACGAGATACATAATGCAATTAAGTGTCGATTAATTACTCTATGACACACGTGCTTTAAATTCAGCATCAAAAGCGACTATCATCGCACATGATTCTTCAAAGGATTTTTAAACGTCAATTAAACGCCTCGCGATGCATTATTCAATTTTTTATTTCACCAAGTAGCGATTTGCCTCGATTTAATCATAATCGAGATCTGATCATGGATTATTAACGAATAAAATAAAAATAAAAACAAAAATAGCCCACAAACGATAAACAACGAACTAAAAAACAACAAACAACTAACAAAAATTTTAAAAATTTGACAAAGTAGACGATGTAGAATAGTTAGTTAAAATAATTAGTCGAATTATCGAATGCCGTCGAATGATGCTGACGAGAATATGCTTGACGCTACTTATATATGATGGAAAGCCAGCTAAGAAAGTAGAGCGAGACAAATAAATTCGGAGATAGAACGAGGAAGAACAGAATAAGAATATAAAAGGAGAATGAATAACTATAAGGAGATTGAAGGGGACGGAATGCAACAAATTGGCACTAATTTTACGTGAAGTCTTAAAGAATAATTTCACGGTATTACTGCGAGAAATATGGACAGATATTTATTGTTATTCGGGATATTACGTGCCTTTTATATTTGTGATGCTACTCAATGTAATTTAACGAACATAAAATTATATATATATATATTATAATATATATATTTTTTTTTTATATCTATATGCGAGCGCTTTGTTAGACACAGTAAAATAATAATCAAGCGTCTTATTTATCCATTGTTTTTAACATAATTATAATAAGAGATGTATATAAAACTTGTAAATTATAATCAATCAATAAAAAGTAGCTATAACCTAATCTTTTGTTAACACGAGAGCCACCAAGGTTCGTCAAACAAGAAGAAGTACGATGCAAGTTATGAACGAATGTGCGGTATTATTTGAATACTTTCTTCGCGAACAAATAGTTTAAAAGCAGCACCACGTTTGACCGAAGACACACACACACACACACACACACACGTATGTATGTATATATATATATATATATATAACGGAACGCTTGTTCGCTTGAAATAAAAGCAAAATAAATATGAGATGAACTACGGCAGACTTAATATTTAGATGGAGGGGGGGGATAAAAAAAAAAAAATAAATAAAACAAGAGAAAATAAAAATGACCCGACCTCTATTCTCTCTATTCACTGAGAGTTTACGAGTCTCTCTAAATTCTTCACCTCGACTGATTAGATAAAGTTTATCTACCGAAATTCAGAACTTTGAAAAACTTATTTCTATTATATTTTTCCATTTTCTTTTTAACGCCCCGAAGGTTGAAGTATCGAATTTTTATATCGTGACAGCGTCGAAGCCATGGAAGCAACGACAAACATACAAACGCGTTTTTTCCAAAAAAAAAAAAAATACTCAAGGCGCTTGTGCAATGGCCCTCAACAATCGACTCATATTTCATCTGCAATAACAATTTTCCACTCCCGGCATTGCATTATACAATTACAGCGCAAATAAAGAGGCAGAGGCATTAAGGCTGGAGTAACGAAACACACGCGCGCGCGCAACATCTTTCCCACGCGAGGTAATTACAACAATGTAACGAATTCAATATCATTTTTATTTATCGTTTTGTTCTTTTTGTTTTGATTTTTTGTCTCTTCATCGAGCGCGTCGGAATCGTGATTGCGATTTTTCCGCGCATGCACAACAAATACGTACGGGCGGACACTCGATTAGCAATGGTAATGGAAAGCCGAGACACATCGAGCAACCGACCGCGACGCTTTATAATAGGCCAGGAGAGCTTGTGATCTTCTGCCTCGAGCTACGAGTGTATTATTTAATTCGTGAGATATGTAGTAAATCCGACGATCCGACGATCCTCGCATTATCCAGCCTCCGATGGCTCTGGCGAGAAAAAGTTAAATACGTACGAGGAAGGAAGGAAGGAGAAAGGAGGAAAATTATCGGGAATCATGGGAGTGTAATTATGCGCTTTTTCGAGGTGATTCGATAATGCTCTTACGTTTTATATATTGGTGATAATATTTTTTTGATAAGGTAAGAAAAGATGTTGAACGCCGTTGGTGGAATATTTTTCACACTTTCGTTTTTATACTTTCAAGATTTTATAATTTTTATTTAAATTGTAATTTGCATTAGATGATGATTAAAATAGTATTATAATAGCATTAATCATATAATTAATAGTGATGTATTTTGAATTTTTAGTAATTTGCCATCACTCTTTGGCTTATTAAAATAATTAATTCCTCAAATATGAAAATAAAAGAGTATCATGACTTTTATCAATAACAACACTCTAATAAAAACAATAATGCTACTCTAACTTTTAAGATTAAAGTTTATTTTTAGGAGGTTCGAGAAATGTAAACAATTTTCTAATATTAACAGAATTTCATTAAAATACCACATAATTCTTTTCAGTATATTATTCAAGTAATTGTTACTAATAAAATATCTATAAAATATAAGGGATTTTCAGAGGGTACGAGTAATAATGTAAAATTTAGAATTTTTAACAATCTATCTACTTTGTTCGTCGTCACACTAAATTACAAAATTTGTATTATTAAGTATAAGTGATTAATTGAAAACTTTTATCAATGAAACTGTACTTGGATTATTTAAAAAAATTATTGCTAGTTTTTCTACCAAATGAATCCATGTTACATCAATGAAAATGGGCCTTTGTCGCTCATTAAAAATTTTGACCAAAATTACAAGTATTGCCATTTGAGTCTCCTAAATTTAAATGTAATCTAATTTATAGGTTTTGCATTAGTTTGCATATATTATAGATGAATCATATTCAAGTATTAAATAATTTAAAGCAATGAATTTCTAAATGTCTGATACTATATAGATGAAAATATAAAAACTTCTGAATATACCTCAGCTGCATCCGCTGAATTGTAATTTTACATACTTTCAACTTTCCAAATTTTCAAAAAACTAGTGGCAGCCAATTGCAAACGCTTAAGCTGTTGTATTTTTTTGAAATGGAGAATCCCCCTCTCTTCAGCGAAAGGGGGAGATCAGCTGATTTTAAAACGGCTGTCAACAAGACCTTAGCCAAGAGAGACTAATTCAATTCTACCTTAATAATGCCATCTGAGACTGCTCTGTTAGCTTCGTAAGCATTAGCATTTAGATCATACACATTAAGCTTCACGCTTCCTCTGGATTGGAAAAAGACAGAGTATAGTGATAGAGCGTTAGACCAGGTGAAGCTGGTAATAAAGTGAATTAAACATAGGAAGCTTATACATACTACAAGGACATATCTTGTTTAACGATACATTTGCATTAGAGCGCAGAATGTATAGTAAGAAAATTATGCACAATATACAAGAAAGAAATCAAGTTAATTCTAACATTATTGTCGTGTAAATTTCTTTTTTGATTTTAAATTTTATAATATATTTGGGACTGAAAATTAATTCACATTCAGTATTAAAAGCTAAGCAACTCTATGAAGCCACGTTAACATATTTTAGTATTATTCTATTATAATATACAAGATAAAAGAATGAATTGTCATATTATCAAGTAGACTTTTAGAGTCTTGTATGAATAGTGAAGGATACAGTTTAATAACATCAGTGTCCATACGTCGTTTACCAGCACTGGGGGACGACATTTTTCACAGCTAGTCTTGGACTAGTCCGTCAAGCTTGGGTTCAGTATTAGCACAGACGTTATGTTTTGACTTCTTTCACCGCACAAGGATGATCAATTTGATTGTAGGTTTGGAATCCGCTGTAGTCGAATCTCCACCGAGGTTGGAAGGAGACCTGACAGCAGCGGTTCCTCTCCCTGCTATATTGGCACGGCTGCAGCTTTCCAAGACACGTCTTAACAAACTGTCAATGCACTATTTATTTTATGCACAGCTCACTGTCACGAGTCTCTAGGGCACAAACTATCCTTCTTGACTGAAACACCTTGTTTAAAAAAAAAAACCAAAACATGAATTGCTTACACTTTTTGAAATTACAGATTCACTTAAAATAAAACAATTTTCATTATCACTTAACAGTTTGAAGATCAAAGCAAAAACAAACAAAAAATAAAAGAAAATAATAATAAAAGAAAAATTCTAAAATCTTGATCCCTGAAGAGAGAGAAAGACAATTTAAAAAGCTACACAAACGCTCGGAAAAACTTCTCTTTTGTCCCTTTGTGTCCCTATACATATAATTTATTATCCCTCTCTCTCCTTCTCGCTCACGTCAAAAACGGCTCATCCTTGCCCCTTGTTCTTCTGCGCTCCGAAAAAAATCTTGTTCTTCTCTCTCGGGCAACTCTCCAAGGGGAAAAAACACTAGCCAGCTCGGGAAGAAAGAGAAGACAACGAAGAAGAAGAAAACGTCACTCTGCCTGTCTTACTC